TTTTTTGTGGTTTTTTTTTTTTTTTCTTAAATGGCTGGAGTCACGGTGGGCAGGGCAGCCATAGGGTGGGGACTGGGATGGGGGAGTTGGGGGGCTTGTGTAGAGCCCCCCCCATGCAGTGCGGGGCAGTGGAGGGCAGCAGAGATCACCCCCCTTGCCCGGCAGTGCCTGATGAGTCTGGGCCATTTTTTCCAAAGTGCCAGGAGCTGGGCCAGGCGGGGCAGCCATTGCTGGGCTGGGAGATCAGGCAGGGGATGGGCCTGGCTGTTTCGGAGATTCGGCCAAGTCGATTTTGGACAGTGATTCAAATCACCAAATCGAATCACTGCCCCCCGAATCAGCCAAATCCAAATTTGAAGTGAATACTAGCCGCTTCACACACACCTAATAGGCACCCACTGTCACCTTCATGAAAACCAAGTTCCTTTACCAAGCCACCCTAAACCAACCAGCTTCTCCTCCACACATTAAAATTAGAGGGCAGTCTTTAGAGATTGATGAGCACTTCCCCTACCATCTTTCCCAATGTATGCATAGACTCCCTGAACACCAGATACATGATTTCACAGGTGCCAAAGGCAGTACTGGTAATTTTTGTATTTGATGATCATGACACGGGAAGTTTGTTTTGGGTCCTTACCTACCAGGCTGTTGTCATTCCCACCCTGTTGTATACGTATGAAACTTGGACATCATATCAGAAACACCTGAAAGCTTTGGAACATTACAAATAGTAATGTCCTTGAAATATTTTCCATGTAAATTGGAAGGACAAAAGAATACATGCCAGTGTTCTGGCTGAAGCAAAAACCATCATCAACTGTCCATTGCCAAATATCTTCAGAGCTTTTGAATGATTTAAGAGAAAAATGAAAGCAAAGCCTTATGAGGATATCAACATACACCCTTCTTACAATATTGGAACATAATGGATCAGGATTTATCATGAATAAATTTATCTTTAAATATGTTTTCTTTTATACTTATTTGGGGGCGGAGGTGGGGTGGTGGTTAAAGCCAGTTTGTTAAGACAAGGTATATGTCTTTATGTGAAATATTCTATTAAAGTAATTTGTTGGTTAGGAAGTCAAAAAATGTTTAGATGTTATCCAAACGACAATTAATCAGTAGAAACATTTCCAGTGACTCGTTGCAGATTGTCCCCCTTTTCATATTTAAATGTATTCAAATGTCAAAATGAGAATGAGGGCTATAGGTTGTAGCCAGGTTGGTCTACGGACACGAGCAAACGGAACAGGGTTCTTTGGGTAAATCCGATATCTTTTATTAAACCAACTCAAATAGTTGGAAAAATTCTTCTTAGCAAGCTAAAATGAGAATGAAACATTTGACAACACAAGAACATAATCCTTTGATTGACATCTTTTTTTTTTTTTCTAGGCAATAAGAAAAAATAATCATTCTAATTTGCAGCCAAAAAAAATTCAAAATAATAAAACGTGTCTTTCTCAGAAAGATTTCTGATGTAACCAGTTCTGAGACTGTTGACATTTCCCCAGGAGATGAAAATCCCAGTCTGTGGTTAGATCTAAGAAAAACATTTACCCTTTCTTGAAAAAGGGCTCTGATCTCCCTAGGTAGAAACTATGGTGGTCATTGCAAGAACCCCAGTGTGTTTAACCCTGATTGGCAGCAAGAGGAGAGAGAGTCAGAATTGTTGCTTTCCATTTGAGTAAGATAAGAAGCAGCTCCTTTGACTCCCAGGGATCTTGCTCCTGGTTGACACTTGAATGAGTAGGAGAGTCAGCCCCACTGTCTACTTCGAGGCAGTAGGTGATTTCATAATTCCCTGTAGGAACACACATGGTTATTTTTTTTAACAGACTTTCTCTTTCCTTAGCTAGAAAGCACTGTGCTATTATAAGTCTGCAGAATATATAAGATGGTTTTTCATCTTAGCTACAGGCAGTCACTTCCAATGAAGGTACAGAAGTTAAACAAACTAGTAATCTAAAATTGTTTCATATTCTTTGGGGGGGGGGAAAAAAAAGTATCCTCTCACCTTTTCTCCTGTTCTTGCCTGCCTTTGAATTAATTTCTTAGTTAATGAAGGTAGAATTGATACAGATTTTTTTATTTTTTTTAATCCAGCAAGTTTTCTCAGCAAAAGCCCATAAATATGTTGTGATTTTTTTTTTTTTTAAATTGATCACTGAATTGGAATGCTGGTATCTTGGAAGGAGCGTAAACTTGGAGCTCACTGTACTTCTGGGGGATGATCAAGAAGTGAGTATTTTTATTTATACGTGTGATTAATTAATTGAATGATTCATCTTTAATAATACTGAAGTTTCACACACTAAGCATTTACATTTGAATGAGGTCTTATCACCGTTGTTGTTAGGAGATACTGCTTTGTCCATTTGCTCATCTGTAATTCGGTTGCAAGAGTGAGAGAGAAAGTGGAAAAGGATGTGAAAGAGCTGGTTAAGGCAGTGATGGAAAGTATCAAACATCTTTACGTGATATTTGTGACTGGTCTACTTCATCCATATTTGCCCATTTAGCAGAACACAAGGAAGCATAGTTATACAAAAACAATTATTCCACAACCATCCTCTTGCTGATTCTATATCATCTGTCTTTCCTGTATTCAAGACATTTGCTGGAGAAATGTCTTACGAGTCAGCTCGTTAAGCAGCACTGCTGTTGCTCTGGTGTTTTGGGTTGCAATCAGGAATATCCTATATCATATGCCTCATTCTATATAGTGTAGAAAAATTACTTGGGTTGGCTAAAAACTGGATACACTGAGAGACCAAAAATACTGTGATTTTCATATCTGTCATGGAGCATCAGCTTATCATGAAGCATCCCAATGACACTCTCTGGGACTGTAGTCCATTGCATCCAGGAAAGCCAAGGTCACCTCTACAGTTCTGGTTGAGTTTCTACCATACCTCTATGGCTGATTAGCACCAAGTAAAGATCTGACCTCAAGGGAGCTCAGGCTCACAAAAATGTATGTAGATTTAATTAGTCTATAAGATGCATGCTCTATATCTAGCTTTTGTCAGTAAACACAAGGGTTTAGTGAGTGGGAACTGCTTAAAAGGAAAACTTCTTTCTCTCAAGGGTTTTCCAATGCTTGCTTTTTCTTGCTTCCACAGAATTAAAAGCCTCTACTGACATCAGGATAAGCAAGGTCCTAATGTGTTGGGTGACACACATTGTGGATGGATTTAGTAGTTTTTTATCCTTAAATTTCTGCATAGCTAACTAGCAACTAGTATGCCATCCTAAAGGTTGAAAGAAAGCTAAATAAAATGAAATGTAGGAACTTGCCATTATTCGTTGCACTTACAATCTATAGGTCACTTGAAGGCAATTTAAATGCCACAGATATTTTGTCTAAAATAATATGCTATTTTAATTAAGATTTGATATGAGTAACAATAACAACAGATACTACAATATTGAGATATTATACAAGTCATAGTAATCTCAGTTGTGTAGTTTTAGGAACAGGCTAGACAAGGATTTTGTATGCAATAGATTGGGTGCATCTACACAAGATGCTTTACTGCACAATGGAGCAAATTACTGTGCAGTGAGCATCACTGTCTACACATGCAGACCCCTACTGCGTAGTAATTTGCTCTACTCAGCAGTTAATTTGCTACCTGCAAATGCAAGTAGAAAATTAACTGATGAGTAGTTACTGCATGGTAAGTCGCATGTAGACGGATGACCGGGAGTAAATTTGCTCTCAGTCAGCCGGGCAGCAGGGGATGGGAGATTACTGCTCCCTGCTGCCAAGGCAGGCCCCAGTGGTGGAGCCTGGGCAGGGATAAGTAGAAAATTAACTGATGAGTAGTTACTGCATGGTAAGTCGCATGTAGACGGATGACCGGGAGTAAATTTGCTCTCAGTCAGCCGGGCAGCAGGGGATGGGAGATTACTGCTCCCTGCTGCCAAGGCAGGCCCCAGTGGTGGAGCCTGGGCAGGGATAATGTCTCTGCCCTGGCAGCAGGGAGCTCCCAGCCCCTGCTACATGATCATGGAGTGGGGGCCGAGAGCTCCCTC